TCTATCTATCTATCTATGTGTCTATCTATCTATCTATCTCTCTCTCTCTCTCTATCATCTGATTCTACCTTTCTATTTATCTATCTATCGTCTATCATGTATCTATCATCTATCTACCTATAATCTAACTATCTATCATCTATCTAATCTATCATCTGTCTGATTCTCCCTATCTATCCATCTATCATCTCTCTCTCTCTCTCTAGGTATCTGTCTGTTCATCCATCCATCCATCCATCCATCCATCCATCCATCCATCCATCCAATCTATCTACCTATCTATCTATCCATCTGTCCATCCATCTATCATGTATCTACCTATTATCTATCTATCTGATTCTACCTATCTATTTATCTATCATCTATCTATCATGTATCTATCATCTATCTACCTATCATCTATCTAATCTACCATATATCTGATTGTACCTTTCTATCCATCCATCTATTATCTGTCTGTCTGTCTATCTATCTATCTATCTATCTATCTATCTATCTATCTATCTATTTATCTATCTATCTGTCTATGTCTATCATGTAGCTAAAATTCACCCATCAAGGCCTGGTGACGTGGCTTACCACTGTAATCCCACCACTTTGGGAGGCCAAGGTGGGCGGATCACTTGAGGTCAGGAGTTCGAGACCAGCCTGGCCAACATGGTGAAACCCATCTCTACCAACAATTTTAAGAACTGGCTGGCGTGGTGGCGGGCACCTGTGATCCCAGCTGCCGTGGAGGCCGAGGCAGGAGAATTGCTTGAACCTGGGAGGTGGGAGTTGCAGTGAGCTGAGATCGTGCCACTGCACTCCAGCCTGGGTGACAGAATGAGACTCCATCTCATAAAACAAAAGAAAAGAAAATACTAAAATAAAATAAAGTTCATCCATCATGTGTTTATCAAATCTGTATCAATGACATATCTGGCTACCATCTGTCACCCATGTATCTATCATCTGTTCATCTATCATATATATTTTTCATCTGTCATCGACCAATTCACCTATCAATCATCCATCAGTCATCAATCAGTCAATCATGTATTACCTATCCAACTGTGACTTCTTCATTTATCATTTTTTCATCTGTCATCTATCAATTACCACCTATCAATCACCTATCTGTCATCTACATATATCACGTTTTTTTTTTTTTTTTTTTTTTAAGACAGGGTTTCTCCATGTTGGTCAGGCTGGTCTCAAACTCCCGACCTCAGGGTATCAACCCGCCTTGGCCTCCCAATATGCTGGGATTGCAGGCGTGAGCCACCGTGCCTGGTCCCAAATATCATATATTTAAATAAAAATATACGCCGGACGCGGTGGCTTACGCCTGCAATCCCAGCACGTTGGGAGGCCGAGGTGGGCGTAGCAGAAGGTCAGGAGTTCGAGACCAGCCTGGCCAACATGGCGAAACCCTGTTTCTACTAAAAATACAAAAATTAGTTGGGTGTGCTGGTGGATGCCTGTCGTCCCAGCTACTCGGGAGGCTGAGGTGGGAGAATGGCTTGAACCCGGGAGGCCGAGGTTGCAGTGAGCCGAGATCACGCCACCGCGCTCCAGCCTGGGCGACAGAGCGAGACTCTGTTGCAAAAACAAAAGAAAACGAAGCCATAGAAAATGATATAACGGTCAACAGCATCATGAACAAAAATACAGCTTCCCACTGTGTCGGGGGCGGAGACGCGCCTGCTCTTCCTGCGCCCTCTGAGCCTCATGTGACTTCTTTCACCGTCAATATCTCTTCGCGGTAGACCTTCCCTTCCTCTGCGGCGAACTCCTCCCAGATGATCTGAAAAAAATGACGATGACTACGACCTCCACCTCCTGGGTTCAAGCAATCCTCCTGCCTCAGCCTCCCAAGTAGCTGGGATGACAGACGTCTGCCACCGTGCCCGGCTGACCCTTGTGTTTTTAGTAGAGAAGGCGTTTCGCTCTGTTTGCCAGGCTGGTCTCGAACTCCTGACCTCAAGGTGATTCCCGCCCCCCCGCCCCACCTCAGCCTCCCAAAGTGCTGGGACGACAGGTGTGAGCCACCGCGCCCCGCACGCGGGTGCTGATTTTCCTGGGGTGAAGATCTGAGACAGATCCACCCACGTGATCTCATGGTTGGCGATGACCACGGGGGCGTTGGGAAGAACTTCTGGGCCTGAAGTCAGGGCAGGGGACGGGACGTGCCAGGAAGACAAGGAGAGGTGACAGCCCGTAGCCATGGTCCCGGCAACTCGAGGTGGGGGACCCCTGGGGGTCAGTGGAAAGCAGGGGCCGGGGAGGAAGCTAGCATGGGGGTGGAAGGTAACAGAATGACAGATGGCCGGGGATGCAGGTGGGCCTCATCTAATCAGTTGAAGGTCCAAAGGGGAGGAGGGTAGGTGGGCCGCATCTAATCAGCCAAAGATCTAAGGGGAAGGATGGGCCTCATGTAAATAGTGGAAGATCTAAAGGGAGGGAATGGCCTCATCTAATCAGTCTAAGGCCTAAGGGGGGGAGGG